TTGTATATAGATGAATCTATACCTGCTCCCTTTGATTTTTTTCATTTTACTTTTTCCAATGTTGTCCTTAACCATTCCAACTCTCCAGTAGGAATGAGCGGGTCCTGCGCCTGAAAACATCAACAAAATTTTATACTTTTTTGAATATCACCTATTTGACTAAGTGATGCTTGCAACTAAATTTAAGTCATGCAAAGTCAGCGCCACACTAGCAGACTATCAACGGTAGGCTATGAAAAATAAAAGAAGGGCACATATTTAGTTCATTGTAGAAACCTATATTTCTACAATATTTTAGTTGCGTCGCATTTCTAATAAACTAATCAAAAAACGAAACTAAAATGCTGGAGCCCCGATCCTATTTTCTATTGCTATTTAAGGTACTAACTTTTTTAACTTTTTTTGCCGTTTCGCTGACGCTAACACGACTTCCAAACTTCTTCATCCGAGAAACAAAAGTTCCAGCAATTCCGCTTCGCCCGCTCCCAAAACTTGATAAAGCAATACGACGAGTCCAATGACAAAACGATCAAGTTCAGATATATGTATGTAATTTATTCAAATCCTTGTTTCATCATACAAACATACAATTGTATGTTATACGCTAAGGATTGAGATATTTCTGCTGCGCTCCAACTATGATGCTCTTACTCAGAAACCGTTAAACTGGGAGTGTAAATAACAGTAAAATGTCGCACGACTGACGAGTGACTGCCTGCCTTTGAATTAACTGTTTGCTGAGTGTAATTCAAGGCCACCGCCAGCATTTGGCGCTATTTTGAGCGTAGGTGTCAAGGCGAAAGCCGTCGCTTTTATAACCGTTAAGGGATTGTTTTTTAAATCGGTTGAGTGTTCTGCCTATCGTCTCTGCCGCCCTTTTTATGTGTTTCAATATTATGTCTTTAGGTTTGGGGTAGGCTAGTCTTAGGCAACCTCATTTACACCTGTTTTATGTCTTTCATTTCTCTTAAGAAAGGCATAGACAAGGAATATTATCGCTTTCTTCCGCCAGCGCCGTCATAATTATCATCATCAGCGTCGCTAGCACAGCAGCCCTTAACTTTGTCATCGTGGCCGTTATTATCAGCAATACAAAAACAAATAATCTGGGGCGCTTTAAGTTTTATGATGTTGTAAGTGAGTAGGCACGCCGTTGTCGCAAGTTTATATTGCTTTTATCTAGTTTCTAACTTTCTCCTTCATTCTGCTCACGTTCATGAATTTTGTAGTAATTTCTCTTGTTTTTATTGACGTTTTTATTCAAAATACCTATAATTGTTGTTGTCATCGAAGGATGTTAATATAATTCTTTATTCCGAGTTAATTTTGTTGAAGAAGTGTTTATTCAAAGAAGGAATTGCTTATTCTGAAAAATAATACAAGGTGGTTTCCAAAGTAAGCATGTCTTAAAAAAAACAGAATAAATGGTTTTTTTTGGCAAAATCAACTTATTTTATCCAAAATAGTCTCCTTCTCAGTCAGCTTGGAATTCTTTTTGGTGCTGGAGACTATACATTCGTTCTTACAGATAAAAACAACAATATTTGTACTTTTCTTAGTAGACGTCCTTGGTTCATTTTCTTTTTCTTAGTTGCATGTTTTGTGTTCTCAAGAACACCAAACATCTGAATCTGAATGATATCTCTGTATTTTCCCCATTAGAAAACCGAAAAGGTATACTGCGGTCTCATTCGTAGAATTACGATATGTTCTTATGTATTGGACTCCAGTCGGAGTAATAATGAGAAATTGCAGTCTTTTGAAATCTCGTTCATTTCTACTTCGGAAAATCAAAGAATTCTACATGCTACTTAGAGCTCTTCAAAGCACCACCGATTGTGGTATTCTATTCTCAAAACTGGTGAATGTGTCATTATGCGTAAATTTAAATTTTATCCATTCGCCAAGTTTTTGCCCATACATTTTGTTTTATTGCTTTTTGTGTCATTCTTAGGAAATTCTCCCTCAGGCCTTTTTGTTCAAATGTGTCTGAAACTTTCTTTTCATTAAGCTGTTTGTCATATTTGCACGCTTCACACTTGGACAAACTCCCTCCATGTTGTTAGTGTCAAAATACAACTCAAAATGGACGCATAAACGAGAAAATGGTAGAACGCATACAATCATACATATGTACCCACACATGTACAGACTTAAACATCATGAAATGGGGCAAAATATGGCGAAAGTTACGAAAGAAAAATACAGATAACGGCACATCTAAGTATGTAAAAGTGTAATAAAGTCTAACTGAGCAGCTGAAAAGCGATTGTGAAATGCTAGTGATTGGCAAATAAAAGGACCCTCTGACCAAGGCAGAAGCTTGTCGTTATGATTTAAATTGTTGGGATGCTGTCTTCTGCCTCACCCCTCTCACGGCACTTATAATAAATAGAAGGATGTTTATAATATTAGAATTTGATTGCGGAGCTGTTTAAGCTTATTAATGCAAATATAATGATCAAATCTTCTTGGCAAATGTGAAACTCTATCTAAGGGCTTGAAAGTATTCGCTCATATTACCACGAAAGCAGAGCAGAAGCAGCAAATTAACACTGAATCACCGGAGCACATTTAAACAAAAAATATTTGTAACTCATTTGAACTGAGCTGGCAAAGTAAGTTTAAATCCGACCAAAGAATTCGGCGTTTCTTACTGGATTTAATGAAATGCATGCAGCGATTTTTATAACGGTACGAGCAAGATAAAAGTTCCGTTCAACCTCCATTTCTTTCTTTTTTACTGCTGCTTTTGAAAGAAAGCAAACATTCTTCTCCATTTACCGCGACGCATTTATTCACAGCTTCATTCGGCACGCAAATCCGCAAGATTACCGAATGGGACTTTTAGTCAAGCCAAGGGTTCCGTCCTTTTTTCAGCAATGCCGCTTTGTTGTTTTCGTTCGTAGTTCGGCGTAACTGCCGTTACTGAAACAATCACATTTGCATTCCTTTTAAACTGAAAAATTACTAATTTCTATAATGATAAAATCTCGTCCCGAATTAATGGTTTAGACTTACACCAAATAAGTCTTTTAGATGATATCATTTTATTATCGGAGGATTTCGGATAAGGTTCGTTAGGTTCATAAGCTTAATCCTGTTGAAGAAATGGTTCCAAAAGTCGAATATCCTCTCAACACAACAAAATAGGATACCATTGCATAGCATACTTTGCACAGTGGAAGTCTCAGTCTAAAAAATTAATAATTTCAAATTTTAGAGCCAAAGGTCATATGACTAAATGCACACCAGTAATAATTTCCCCACATTACAATATGTAATAGGCTGGGTATTCGCAAAGCAAAACAACCACATACAATTACGAGTTTTAATACATTTAAAAAATTTAGCGTTAGAAATAAATATAAAAGAACTCTTATCTGTTAAGTCTAGTATTGGCTTTTGTACTTCCCTTGGGGCGTTTCGTGGCCTTCCGCGCATTTCTTTCTCCAGCCGCGCTGTTCTTCTCTACAACCACAGGTTCAGCACATGGGGATCGAAAGTTTACAGGCACACCTGGAACTTGCTTTTTGTCTATAAGAAAATCCGTCAGCTTAGGATATTCGGACGTAATTTTTCCTGTGACAGGGATCGGACTTCTTAATGTTCTCTCATACTTTATAGGCATATGCCTAAAAGCTGGTGTACGTCTTAAAGAGTTATTATCGATACCTATTATATGCGGCACATATTCGGTGGCTTTAATGATTGCATGTTTTAATTGTTCTGAACTGATCACTTTTGCCGTTTCCAAGGCTGCGTCCGCATAATCAACGATCTGAGGTCTTTGTGTTATTCCCCTCGAAGTGCCGGCATCCAACCGTAAGGATGGTACGAAAACTCCGCTTTGTTGTTGAGCGTAATTCAAAATTTCCCTGGCAGCCTCGGCAGTCAGTCTGGCTTTTGCTGCTTTGGCCGCATTCGCAACTTCTTTTCGTCGCCTCCGCTGAGCTGCTTGATTTTCTTCAAAGACTCTATGTCTCTGAATATCCCTCGCCCTGTATTTCATCATTTTCCTTTCCTAAGTATCGGAAGCGTTATTTTTTACATTTTCTCAATTTATGGTTATGAAAGCCTTACCAATTCCTGCTTTTGTTGCTCTCTTAACTTGATACATTCCTTAAGGTGCCTAAATTGCTGTTGTTGCTGCTCTGCACGTATTTCTCCAGCTGATATTTTGAACAGTCCCTCCATGTTTTTTCCCTGAGACTGCACAATTTTCCCTTTGAGCAAAGCTTTCTTAATGACTCTCCTGATAACAGGCAGTGTAAACTTTCCATCCACATATGGATAGTGGTTAATTATGAATTTCTTGATCGCAACTACCGATGAACCGTTGCGCTCACAGAGACCTTTCAGTGCTCGCAGCACGAGGGCCTCCGCGCTAAACTTTCGATATTGCAAACAGGCATTCGAACTCCAAGACGTTATGCCCGAACTGTTATCTTGAACACATTCGTGTGCGGACCTGTTAGAGGGACGCCTTTTCAAAAACTCAAGATCACTCTTGAGCATTTCTTTGGGCTTGTCTATATTTTTATGATGCTTTTTCATTTTCCTCAATTTTTTTGTTTGTAGACTTTAATTTACGAATTTCACAAAAATTTATTTATTTACATTTATTAAGAATTTCAATGCAACGTTTTTTAATATTTATTTATGTTTCATATTTTGAGCAAATCTACTAGATGAAACCCGAATGTATTTTCGATAAATATTTATTTTTATTTCATATGTGCATGTTCGTGTTCGAAAGGATGTGCTCCTCCAGTCGACGCAAGGGAGAAGTTGAGTACTATATTGATAACTCATTCTGTGCGATAAGCCGATCAGATACAAAGGTACGTTTTGAAAATAAATAATTCAGTGGGTCATATTGCATTCTTCTTGCATGTCTCTTCTCTCTCGCTGTAAAACTGATGATGACAGAGAAAACAACCCTTTTCCAAAATTCATGATAATATGTATCGTATTTATTAATTTATGTCTAAAACAAATCTCATCAAAATTGAATATTTATTGTAGAAGCAAAAAAGTTAAAAAAAAAACCACATTCATTATACCTTGAACACCTTCAACACTACATAATAGATACTTATTCATCACAATGAGAAACTGCAAAAATCATAAACATATTGTGCAGTTGTTATTTTGTCTTGACTTTCTTTGCTGCAGTCTTCTTGTTGGGCTTCACAACATCTGCATCTCCAGAGCCCGTTTCGACATTTTCCATAGCAGCAGCTTTACCTTTGGCGGTTGTTTTCTTTTTCGACGCAGTTACTGTTTTTCCCTTCTCCTCTTTCGTTATAGCAGACGCCGACTTGGGAGCCACCAGGTTATTATTTTTGATGGTTTTTTTGGTAGTGGAATCCACGGTTTGAGCTTTGTTTTGTTCGGCCCCTTTGGTTTTTTTACCCGGCTTACCATTATCAATGGATGCTTCTTTCACCTCTTTCGTTTTGGTAGTTTTCTTCGCAGATGGTGGATCGATCGCTTTTAGGGCAACGGATATTTTTGGCATCTTCGTAGTTGATTCACTTCCGTCTTTCAATTTTATTGCACTGTTCGAACCTTTTGCTTTTGCTTTCTTTGTCACTTTTGCAGACTTTATCTCTCCTTTTTCTGTTTTGTTTGCTGCCGCTTTGGGTTGTTTCTTTACTTTGTCAGCAGCCTGAATTAAATAATTTCGATATTTATAAAAACCATATCATAAACAAAACTATTGGTACTTACTTGGTCAATTTTAGGTTTTTTGACCAACTTTTTCCGATTCTGTCGCTCTTTCTTCTCTTCCAAGCGATTTGTACCTGGCGATACCTTAAATGAACCACCCAACCCAGTGCCCTTCGATTGCACCAACTTTCCACTAACCAATGCTTTCTTAATATAGCTCTTGATCAGTTTCATTGTCCGTGGTCCGTCTAACTGGGGATAATTGTTCATGACGTATTTTTTTATGGCAATGGCCGAGGAACCACCACGCTCGTTTAGACTTCTTATCGCAGCAAGAACCATGATCTCGGTACTGACATTTTTGAGACGCGCAGGTAAACTTACACCATTCGCCATGGGTTTCGTCTTGCTTGAAGATTTGACTATATTGAATTCCGGCCCTTTCATTGGTGGTTCTTCTTTTATACCATTGATTTTATGAGTACCATTAACACCTCTGAATATAGTATCGACCTCACTACTTGACGATGCTTCAGAGTTGCCTGCATTTTTATTCGACAACTTCCCTCCAGTGTTCTCCGCTCCAGATTCCTTTTCATTGTCAGTATTATCTGAAGCCTGCTCATCTTCATTGGATTCATCAGAATCGGCTTCATCTTCGCCTACATCCGAATCACCTTGGGATTCCTCCTCACTCACTTCTTCATCTTCGTCATCATCTGAAGTTTCAACTGAACTGTACACAAATAATTTCATAATTCAACAATAAATTTCTTGTTCACTATAAAACTAACAAAATCGAATGTTCGAAATGATTACTGAAGCGATATTGACAGCCAACAAATGCTCAATTTTGTGTAAATGCAGTAATGTTTGAAACGGTTTATTTAACCCACAAAATGATCGCATTAACTGACAAATAGATTGAACCAAATAGAAAACTAATATACACATTAAAAAAAGAGAATCTATAGATAGGAATTTTGACAAACTATCACTGATTTAATTATTTTTTATTTTATTAGCAAAATGTTAAGAAATGCAAAAAGGCATAATAATTAGCATCCCTACGCGACTCTTTTACAATAGATCGGTGATCGGCTCTGCGAATGCACCATCGCCTGTCCGCCAATCGCTTCGTTGTTGTTTATAAAGCATAAATAACTCACGTACATATGCAAATAACTGTAAACATTTGTCAGTTTAGTTTCTTAGCACCAAAAAGAGAAATAGAATTCGCATTACATAAGGCATCGCATTATTTTCTTACCAAACCATCGTCTTTTGATTTATAGAATTACTCTCTTGTACATTTTGAAATGATTAAGTCAATCGGATGGGTAGTCTGGATCTCCATTGGAGCTTTTCTAGTTGTGCGCCCAGCTTTAGCTATGATACCCGAAGGTGTAACGGAATCCCTGATTTAGACGCTAATGACCTAATTGCAATTTTTAACCTAAGAATGTCTTTTCTGTTTTTCTTTTTCAAACTATGATACTCCTAAAATGAAGAAATAATGGAGGTCGCTTGCGCCGAGGATGAGCATTGCCATTATTACGAAACGGAAAAAGTTACATCGTCCTGCGTCCATGGCTTGTGCCATTGTTTCAACAACCAAACGAATGTGAACGTTACCTGTGAACCGAAAGTAGTGATTAGTGAAGTGAAGCAGTGATTATAATCTAGTAATTCAATTGCTTTGTAGATTCTCCATACGAATAACATAATCGGTGGTAACTGTCCTTGCAAGCTCCCGCATGCCGAATGTCATCAAGCGGACTATCTCTGCTACTGCGAGGACGACTATGTACCTACAATAGACAGAAGACGGTGCATACCGAGTAAGAAAATAAGTTAAACGGATTTATCTAGTTGTTTTATTTAACTCTTTCATTGTAGAACAAGTACCATTGGGCGAACCATGCGAAACTAATGAACAATGTCTGTTTTCTACTGTATTCAGTCACTGTGATTGGAGCACAAAAAACTGTTCCTGCGATGCTGGCTTTTTAAGGAATGGCTCCATATGTCTATCGCAAACCAGTAAGTTAAATGGAGTAGGTAGATTGTTAAGATAATTTCTTTCTTATTTCACTAACCATACATTCGGAGACGCTCTAGAATGAGCATACGTTTTTCACTAGCCTTTATTAAAGCTTTGAAAGTTATAGTTATTTTAATGAAGCTAATACGTTTAACCATAACAATTCTCCACTTTCTTATACATCTATTTCATTACGAAAGAGAGCAGAGCTAAATGTGACGACAGAATGAGGTGCTCACAACACGGACCGCACAAAATTTGTTTTCCGGAAGTAGGCGAGTGTGTTTGCGAACAGGGCTACGTAAGTGCAAACACTTCGGAGGAATGTCTGCCGGGTCGAAAACTCCACGAAGACTGCCAGGATGCGAGCCAATGCTATGCTTTTATGGGACCAGGTGCTACCTGTGAGAACGGCAAATGTCAGTGTAGGGTGGAATATACAATTGCGACGAGAAAAACTAAGGAAAACCGCTATAGTATTGCCTTAGAAAAAGTCTGCACACCCTTAGTGGGTAAGTATCTACACAAGTTGCACACGAGTGGTGTATGTTCCTTCAATTAATCTATATATCACCTGTAGAAGTCGGCCAGTATTGCACTATTAATGAGCACTGTAACAATGGACCTGAAGACGAGAATGAGCAGTTGATGGAATGTGATCACGGCGAATGTGCCTGCCGGTTTGGCTTCAAAAACCAAGTACCGTGCTCGTCCACGGCCTCAAGTGTGAACGTTAAAAAAGCTTTGCTGTGTATTATATTGGCGATGATGGGTTTGCAAATGCATTAATTGAAATAGGAGGCTCAAAAGACTCGCAGTGCCTAAGCATTATGCAAAAATTTGGAAAAGTCCAATTTATATAAAACCTTAGTTTGTAGAATGTGAAGATATGCATTATAGTTAATGATAAAGAAATTAAAAATTAATAAATAAAATATGGTGAAATTCTGCTGCACCGAAATAATAATACCCTCCACAGCTACATAATAGGTAATGAAGGGCTAAGATCTGGTTTAACCGAACATTTCATACTCTTGCAGTTGCAACACGCCGGCGAAATTCCTTTAGGTGCTGGCAAAACTTTATAGTACTAAAATAAAAACTTGTTGTTTTCAAATATTCATCATTCGACGAAATCGTGAATAATCAAAATTAGTATCTTCTTGACCTATGTATATGAAGGCCGTAAACTTAGAATTCGTTTTATTTACTTATTTTAGTTCTCAGCTAAAATTATATTAAATATCTCTTCAAATGAGATATATGTATGTGATATCATCAACTCGACCGTAGAGGCTTAATTTAATACGAAATATTAAGGTAATGGGGAAAACGTCAACCAGAGGATCGTAATTAATTACTTGAGCGATATGAGGTTTAGACCAAGGTTTACTACTGTCAAATTGAAAGGTGAATTTAAATATTCTATTTCGCGTGCTTTTCGAATTGGTAAATTTTTCTGTAAATTGGTCTATTAGTGCCATCTACATATGCTAAATTTCACGTCAAAATATTCATTGCTACATATTTGAGATGCGTGCCGTTTTCTAAGGCTCTGAAAGTGAATTCTTCGATTTTTACTATGTCTGAATTTATTGAACAAAGAAGTGTGACAATGCACCATCTCATACTGAATTGGTTATTCATGAGCATTTCGGCACATTTCACCTTATCTACCTTCTTGTAACTTCTGGCTATTCAACAAATTCATATGACTACTCCGACGACACCGTTTTGACACAATTGAGGATATAAAAGCTAAATCGAAGAAGGCTCTGATGGCAATCACGACGGAGGATTTTTCCAAGTGCTATGATGACTGGAAAATTCGTTGGCATAAGTGTATTGCAGCGGGAGGGAATTACTTTGAAGGAGATGAAATGGACAAAATTCAATTTGATCACAGTAGTCGACCAATTCCATTCTAATTCAACGTTACTCTACAAAATTTTTAGAAAAACTGGCTCATTTGGCTTCATTAAAATATCGCGCATTTTAATTTTAAATACAGGTGGAAAGACAGAACTCAATATATGGGAGTATTGTGTCAGGTATAGTCGAGAACTTAATTATAGGTAATTTTACATATAAATAATGCTCACTGACTGACATATTCTGCACGAAACTGGTTAGAATAGCGATTATATAATAAGTAGTAAATGGTGGTTGGAGGTAGTATTGCCTAAATTGTTAATCAATTTTAAACAAGATTACATATAATTAACATAGGACTAATAAAATGCTCCCAAAGTTCCTCCCATACCATCACCAAACATATAGAGTAAAAATTCTAAAATCCTGATGACAGTTATACTTGTATGGAGACTAGATCAAGTTTTCGCCCAATGTTATCGATTTCAGCCCAAAAGATACGAGAAATTATATAATTATACTGTAGAGACTGGAGTCCGAATAATCGGTACATTGCGGGTAACGATATATGTGGCTTCACCTAGAAGAGGGCGGTGACACGCCCATTTCCTAATTTTGACTTGGAGCCTTATAAAATTTTCTAAGTTTAATTATTTATCGTTATTTATTGTATTCGACAGGGGTTCTTACGGGTTTCATTTGAGCGAATTTCGTTCTTTTGGCTTCAACGGTTTGCGAGATACATTAATCCTATTAGAGGGCGGAGCTACTCCCATTTTCTCAAAATATTTAGCCCACCTGTACCTTTTGCCAAGGATTAAGATGTGTTTTAGGTGATACATACAACCGTTAGGTGAACAAAACTATTATACTCTGAAGCAACATGTTTTATGGGGATCCGATCGAAACAAAATTTCGTAAAGATGTCTTGTACATAAGTTTTCCAATGAGCTGCTTCTTGGGGGAAAAAGTGTGGCAAAATGGCTCTATCTCAACAACTGAGCGACTCCATATACAAACGAACGCTGATTATCTGGGTGTTACAAACTTCATGGCAAATGTAATATGCCTTGTTCAGATTATAAAAATTAATTTAATTTATTAACTTTATTACTGACTTTAGTAAAGTTACAAAAATAATTGTACGTGATGGAAAATTGTTGAACTCAAATATTATATAATACTCCATAGACCTCTTCGGCTATAACAACGTAAACGGTGTATACTCCAATCAAGAAGATTGACCTCTTAGCACATTAGTCGTGAATTTTTCCTTCAGATTTTATTTTCTTTTTTAATAAACAATTATTCTTCTAGTAGATACCAATAGGCAAATTTTTGATCGCAAGCAAAAAGATATGCGTGCTTTTTTCCAAAATCTCAATTTTTAAATATTGTCTAATAAGGTACTGAAAGAAATCTATACCAAATAATTATTTCAAGCAATGCATTTTTTTAGATACATATGTATATACAAACTCCCCAGCAACTTTTCTCGCTTTCAAGTTTCATTTCTCTATAGCACCACGACAGTAGGGTGATCAAAAGCAGCAAACCAATGATCAATGAAAACATAAATTTAACAGAGTAATACATTTGTCTCTCACTTTATTGTTGTAGTTAATATACATAGTTTCATAAATTTTATTTTATACATACATAAATTGTATTATTAAATTTATATATATTATAAACTTTCTCTATATTTCTGCTTCCGCTATTGCGTTCTAGTTTACAACAAACATTGTTAAGAACTATTATCATTATTATCATCCAGAGGTTAGTTTCAACAAATTTTACAGTACGCTAGTGAAAAAAAAACATTTAAGCAATTTGAAAGGTGTAAAAAAACACAACAAAAAGTTTAGACTCATCAACTCTCACTGAAAGGCCAGTTGGCGAGTTGTGCCGAACATTTACAATAGATTTTCGCCAAGTGTGGAGTTTTTAAAGAAAACTCGGGTTTGTGTGCGTGTGAGACGAGTTGGGATAGGTTGTTTAATACTTGAACATTGAGTAACATGTATGCATGAACAAAGCATTATTGCGTTAATTAAAAATAACTTTAAGTTGGAATGCTCTATATGTAAGTGTGTATATGTGTGCTTTTAAGCTGTGACTTCAAACTTGGAAACTTAAGAACTAAAATATGTGAGAATAAACAAGTTTTATCGCAACTGCGACTGGTGATGGGCTGCGTTATCTAGGTTCAGAGAAATCGTAAATTTTTTGATAAAATAAAACAAAAGTATAATTAGCAGACACAAAAACCTGATATAATTTACAAGATCTTACATTGAACGAATAAAACATGAAGTAACACATCTTTGCTGCGTTTTTTACAGTGATTCGCCTTTTCTAAACAATTAGTTATTTACATTCTTATTACGCTGTAAGGTGTGTTATCGGTATTGATGCTTTACATAACATTTAATTTAGCAAATATTTTAGTTTTAATAACTTTTACAAAGTGTTTACAATTTATCTAACACATTTATAATTTAAGTAGTTGTAATAAAACATTTTAACGCCACACATAGCGGACGTGTGAATCATCAAGCGCGTCACAATTACAATTCATTGTCTCCTATTTTGCTAAATATCTTCGTTCGGCCATAATTAATTAGTTCCATTTGGATTTTCACTTTCAGTTGCAGTTTGAAGCATATTTCCTATTTTTCCCATTTTATAGTTAAACTTACTATCGATGTTTTTCATATGATCTGATAATTAATAGTATATTTGATGGGGGTGTAAGTGGATGGCGCTTTGCGTTTAAAACTGCACCGTATACGTAAACCCATGAAACAAAAAAAAAAACAAAAAATTAAAAGCAACATATTTGATAATAAATTTAATGGCGGGAATCTCTGGGATAGAATTCCGCGAGAATCGAAGCTGGAATACGCTTCAGCATCTCCTTGGGGAAGATACGCAGCAACTGCCAGCCAATATCCAACGATTCGAAGACGGTGCGGTTTTCGTAGTTACCCTGTGTATATAACATACAATTTATAATAAAATTTTTTAAAGGCTAGCTGGAGATAGTTCCATATAATTTTAACTCGCAACTCACCTGAGAAATGAAGTTCTTTTCGAATTTGGTCAAGAATTCCAAGTACAGCAAATCATCAGGCGTGAGCGCCTCCTCACCAACGACAGCTTTCATGGCTTGTACATCCTTACCGATGGCGTAGCAGGCATACAGCTGATTGGAGACATCAGAGTGATCCTTGCGAGTCATGCCCTCACCAATGGCAGATTTCATCAAACGTGACAACGATGGCAACACGTTAACTGGTGGATAGATTTGTCTGTTGTGTAGTTGACGATCAACGTAAATTTGGCCTTCAGTAATATATCCAGTCAAATCAGGAATTGGATGGGTGATATCATCGTTAGGCATAGTAAGAATGGGAATCTGTGTAATGGAACCATTGCGACCTTCAACACGACCGGCACGTTCATAAATGGTAGCTAAATCAGTGTACATGTAACCGGGGAAACCACGACGACCGGGCACTTCTTCACGAGCAGCCGACACCTCACGCAAAGCTTCAGCATATGAAGACATATCCGTAAGGATGACCAACACGTGCTTTTCGCACTGGTATGCCAAGAATTCGGCAGCGGTCAAGGCTAGACGAGGTGTAATAATACGTTCAATGGTTGGATCGTTGGCCAAATTTAAGAACAGACACACATTCTCCATAGAACCGTTCTCTTCGAAATCCTGTTTGAAGAAACGAGCAGTTTCCATATTCACACCCATAGCAGCGAACACAATGGCGAAATTATCTTCATGATCGTCCAAAACAGATTTTCCGGGGATCTACAAAATTTTATAGATTTATTTATTTCAGGTAATGCTTTCACAATCAATTCCGGAATTTTCACCTTAACTAAACCAGCTTGACGACAGATCTGAGCGGCAATTTCGTTATGTGGCAAACCAGCAGCTGAGAAGATTGGAATCTTTTGACCACGGGCAATGGAATTCATCACATCAATAGCGGAAATTCCGGTTTGAATCATTTCTTCGGGATAAATACGTGACCAGGGATTGATAGGTTGACCTTGGATATCCAAGAAATCTTCTGCCAAAATTGGGGGACCTTTGTCGATGGGCTTGCCTGAGCCGTTGAACACACGACCCAACATATCCTCAGATACAGGTGTACGCAAAATATCGCCAGTGAATTCGCACACTGTGTTTTTCGCATCAATACCAGAAGTACCTTCGAAAACTTGTACGACGGCTTTGGAACCGCTCACCTCAAGCACTTGCCCGGAGCGAATTGTGCCATCAGCAAGGCGCAATTGTACAATTTCAGCAAATTTGGGGAATTTCACTTCGTCCAAAATTACCAAAGGACCGTTGACACCAGAAACAGTTTTGTAGGCTGTAAATTTATAATATATTTTCACATTTTAGATTAAAAATAATAATAAAAAGGATATAAATTAAAATGCACTGATCTCGTGGTGTGGCACATGAATAGCTTACTGCTAAGAGAAATGACGTTAATCAGCGATATTTTATCGGCGAGATAAGAATATCCAACGACCTAACGAATGTATTGAACGTCAGCTGACTGTATATCAGAGCAATAACGAAAACCAGTAGAATGGCAAATACCGAAAATGACAACGAAAATGAAATCACTGATAAATTATATAAAAGTCGTAGTTAATTTTACTTTTCGCAAAGTTAAAACTTTGTTTTAGATTACAGATCATGGTAATATAAATATTAGATGCTGTAGTAAAATATAATTTCGTTAACATCAAAATATATAAAATCTAATATTTGATAAAAATTTTTAAATGTCTTTAAACTGGTAAAATGTTAATAAAAAGTATAAATTTCAGACAATTGTTTTTCATTTGGTCAGGTGCCTTCACATTTGGTTGTTATTGTCATTCGGAACTACATTGATGTCACATGACTATCCCGAGTGCAATTTTTTTAATTATAATCGCTTTAACCATGTCAATGGTAATTCTCATAGTTTTCAACATTACTACGAGTCCCATGACCAAAATTGCTTCTCTTCACCATAATAAAAGTGAACTTTTTAACAAAATAAGAAAAAAATTGGAGCTATGTAAAAACTAGCCCCATAATGCAACTACATTGAAATTGTATCGATTTTTGCACTTCTTCTTTGTCTTGATATTCGCTGAGCTCCCCGTCTGTCATGGCGGACCTAATTTTACGTTGGCCCCGTCATACTATTAGAAAAAAGAAGCTTCACAATTATATTTGTATTACTCACTTAAACGTGGCTGAGAGATGAAATCCCTGGAAACAGCCAGGACGTGTTCCCTGTTAGCTTGTTTTGCAGATATAGACATTTTGCCCTCAATTTATTTGCACCTCCAAATTAGTCTCACAAAATCGTTTGTTGGCACACAAACTCTACAATTAATCTAAAGAAAAACAACAAAAGTTTTTGATTATAGTTGGACTATACTCAATGAAATATTTTTTCCACACACGCACAGTTTTCTAATAAGAATTTTTCTCTACAACTGGAGCCAGATACTTTTAGTGGTAGAGGACAGTCAGCTGCGCGTTACGACGTCGTTGGAGTACGAAGAAAAATTCACACTGAAGTTTAGAAAGAAATATTCACAGTGACAATATAACTGTCACGTGTGGTCATGTGACCACAACCAGAGTTGCATGTGTGTCAACTGACAGTTACAGTGGATTGTTGACTATGCTAGACATTTTCATCTGTGAATGGCAATTATTATTGTATTTTACAATAAAGTTATTTCGTATATTTTTCTCGACAACAGCTGAGAATGTCAACAAATACCAGAGAATGTCAATGAATAGGAATACATAAATGTTAACTGGACTCAAATTTAAACCAGAGAACATATATTTATATCAGAGAACGTTTATCATATGATGGACGTTCTCTGCTATAAATAAACGTTCTCTGCTTATGTTCTCTGGTTCACTGCATTAACATCCTCTGCTTTGGTTCTTGTGTTAGGTGTGAGCTTATGCGCGCTGGGTGTGTCTGTTAGATTAGTTCGGCTATGCACCATCCATGACAAGAGCGGAGAATGTTAATGAACAGAGGAGATACAATTGATATGTTAGCTGTACGAAGATGTAAATTATTATGAGGAAACATCGAAACAACGAAATAGACAAGCTCGAAAATTAATGAATGAATGAATTACACTAAGTCATAAAGCAATGTTTAACGTTTCATAAGGCAGCTCAACAAACTACATCACTCTAAGAACGAATCAAGCTATTTTTCCAAAATTCTTTGCTTTTGCTTGTATGGTAGAACAGTTTGAACAATCACAAGTGAGGAGGCCAGGAGGTGCATTGCCACAAAATTATTGCTATTATTTTAATAATCAATTTAATGTGGAAGAAAATTTAACATTTGTGTGAATTTTTGGTCCCTATTACAGTTTCCAATCCAACTGCATTTTGGTTAGAATTTTGAAATTCGTTATTATGGGTTTCAACTCAAACCGTAAAAAAAATCGGTTGAAGTGTTCTCAATTTCATTTATGAATCTGCAATAAACACTATAAAATATTTTTTTGAGAATTAAAGGAATTTTCTAATCCTCTTTTCGCAATAGACGTAATGTCTTTGCTTTTAATTAAACTTGATCTGTAGAGTTGCCACTCGTCTTCGAAGTATACTTAAAATTGCTTGTAAAAATCAACTGAAGTATTGCGGATACAACCGTGCTCACTGATCTGCCAAGCGCAAAATAAACAAAAGAATAACGGGAGCAATAAACACACGCACGGAAAATACCGGGATGGCAAGTGTGCAGCTTTTGACGGAAGCGTTTAAACTGTTGCTGCTGCTCTTCCTCGTATATGTGCAGCCAGTGTTGGGGATGATGTTGTAAAGTGGAGTAGTGTGCCGCTTCGAGTTCAACAATCTCACGCGTACAGTGCGTTTTGCCATATATTTGATCGTTTTTGGATTCGCCATTGCCAGCGCCATAGTTGTTGGCATCTTGTTCCGTCGCAGTGATCGCGCTCACGGTTTCAGTTCAGTCCTTCCCAATACCGCCGTTCCGCCGTAGTTCCGCCTCTGGTTGTTGCTGGTGTCACTTCGTCGTTTGTTTGTTTGCATTTGTGGAGTGAAGTGAGTTTTATTTTTCTCTAATTTCCGTTTTTGTTTGCATAAATTTGGGTTAATTCATATAATGGCACCTATAAACAGCTGATGCACTTTCATCAATTCGAACAATTTGAACAAAAACAAACTAAAAGTGTTCACCGATATGAAAATTAAAGAACTAATTCAGTGCAATAGCTAGTGTGACAGATAGCTAGTTTTACATCCATAATCTGATTGTGTTAAAAACTCTATTTTTAAACCTTCACTACTTGGAAGTAACAGGTAGAAACATGCAAATGGTAGCAGAGGCGTCGAAGTTGCTTTTAATTTTAATTTTTTTTTTCTTTTGCTGAGTTTTGTTGCGGCTGCAGATACTGAACTAAATATTCCGACTGGCACGCCACGTCTGCGTGTTGACCACCAACAACGCGGCTGGCCGATAGTAGCTGAAGAGTCTGTTCGACAACCGGGAACTCGCAGCTCCAAGTTGCAGCTTATTTTAAGACTGAAAACGAGTTGACGAACACTCAGCATACAAATATCATGTGGAAGCGGCGTGATTGGATAGGAGTTTGAATAGCTGGGGGGGCGACACTGCGTTGGGGATTTTAGTTGTGACAAATCGTTGCAGAAATAATCATTATATTAACACATTTAGTGCATGAGTTTTCAAATGTAGGTATGCATACATCTGTATGTGTATATGTATGGATATGTATTTAGCGAACAGTCAGTGAAAGTCGCTTACTCATGCGCCCTCGAAAACGCTGTCAGTAGACATACCGTTGTCGCCCCGTTTAGCATCGGTTGGTATTATTTAGGGCTCTGCTGGGAGTGCAACAGTTCTCTGCCGCTCCTCCTTGGCTCCTTAGTATTGCGTTGTGGTGATGTGTATTTTAATGGAGGTTTTTAGTTTTTATTTACCTTCAGTTTCCTCCCTACCAATGTGATCGTAAGGAGTGTTCGTTGGCTCGTTTTGTTTCTTTTTTGATATGCTCGCTTACATATTCGGATTTTTGCGAAAGTGTACAAAGTGCACTTGATTGCTTATTTAACCCTTCTTTCCTGAGAAACCCCTCTGAGTAATCGAACAGAAACGGCCACAGTCACTCCATAAGTACAGTAGGGCTGTTAGGAACACAGACCGCCATTGTTCGAAATTCGAATGCTCGAACTTTAGACACGAATAAAGTTAAATGTTTCATGATTAATTTATTTCACAATAAGCAAATCGTGCAATGTACACATATCTACATACATACTTACATATGAATGTGTGAGTGAGTGTATTGTATGCGATGTTGCAAAATTTACCTGATTTGTTTCCGTGATTGAAGAGGCCGACAGTGCATATAACAGTGTAAATGTTAATTACACTACACCTCACCTTAAATGTTAACAGTTCTTCCCGATTTTGTTGTATTTGACCTTCGAAAAATATACCAAAACTTGTGATTATAGGTAATATTTGGGGTTGGGATTTGGAGATTCGTGCTGATTTCAAATAAAACATCAAAATCTGATTGTCCTAAGTTTTATTTATCTTCCATGAGCGGTTACTGGGCATCAACAAATGTGAATAATATTCTATGAATACTTCTAACCACATTCGTATATTCCTAGGTAAAAACTTTGTTTTTGTTGTGTTTGGGCTTACATTTAACAATGAAAATTCATTCGTCATTTTGCCGACGCCTTATTTTAAAACGCTATAAAAAAATTTCGAGAGGAAAACACGAAACCTAAATCGATTTTATTTTTTTCTCTATTTTTTTTTTAATAAAAAAGTAGTGAAGCTCATATATTTTTTAGTTAGTGCTGTAAGAATAATCAGAACAATACAAAGAGGAAACACCTGTCATATCGCATCACTGTTATCTTGATTGTCTTTGCCACGATAAAGTGGATGTAGCCACTGAATTCCATCATCAATCAGTTTAATAATAAAACATTTTTCTTCGATAATAGACGTGATTCGGTTCACTATAAGAAGCTTTGAAAGGTTTTTATGTGGTAAAAAGTCTCTCGTAAAATTCATTAGTCGACTCAAAGTACATATACCTGTATACTTATGTAGGTTCTCCCAGTAGTTCCTTAAATATAAACTTCGAGCTGAACACAGCGTTTGTAAATCAAGCAGCCAAAGGATTGAAAGATGAGACATTTGTTAAGCCTGTAGAGTAGGCACTGCTTCACTTGTAAACTAAACAAAAGCAAAAATTCCGCTTGTTCACCATATTATTCTTTAGACTATGGATAGTAAAATGAGATCTGTATAAAAATGTTTCATTGTTTTCTTTTTGCTGCAAGCGCATCAACAAACAAACACATACACATGTATGTATGTAAATATGTACAAATTTTATCTAAAAATCGAGTTGCCTTCCACGCTCCAACCACATGCAAGATACAGAAGTATGTGCATACATACATATGTATCACGACATACTTAGTTACTACCTCGTATATTCACTCATACTTAGTTACGTCTCAAATACACTCGCTTGTTCGTCAGCGTATCGCTCTGCGCCTAGGTGTAAATGTGCTAATGCGGTTATCTCAATTTTCTTTGTGCCATTTGTCAAACAAATATCTCTACCAGACCACAACCTGTTGCGCAAGTGTGCTATAAGTATAGTCAATGTACAGAATAACGGAATTATGAGGAGAATGATGTATATCTGAACCATGTAACAGAAGGGCAGGTGTTCTTTTAAATTTTAAAACCCCTGAAAAGCTCGACCTCCTGCGTAACCTCCTGCGTAACATTTTACTCACTTAATTATTAATTTCTTCAATTCCTATTACTGGAAAAACGCTCTTAGGTATTACTTTGCATATTACATCTCACGTGGTAGTGAATCCAAGGATTACATGTAAGCTAGCTACTACTTCTCTTATTCGTTACCGAACTAATAACATACACGACCTTGATTCGGGTGTATAAAGGTGTTGAACTGTACTTTTTGCTCCTTATCATTTAGCGCATTAAGTTAGAAACGTCGCCAAAGGTGACTAAGTGCACAAACAATTCCATAGAAATGCAATTTTAACATTATTTTCATTGAGTTTCCGCAGAAATGTGACAGGGATACAAATTGCCCTAATTGAAAGATTGAATAAAAATATATGTACTTATGTAGATGACAATGAACACCGTGTCAATATGGGCAAATACGAAAAGTTAAAAGCAAAAAAGGCAACGAATCTATGTTATGTACACACCTAAAATGACAAACAGTAAGCACAACGGTGAATTGACGTGACCGTCAGCGCCATAGACGCCTAAATCACTACGAACACATTTATATATGTATGTATGTATAAGTGTATGTGTGCTAGATAACAGCACATTGTTGGCGCACAAACTAGCTGAGCGATCATTCACAAGTCGGCCTGATCGAGGGATCGACTCGTGAATGCGCTCACCAATAACTATCGGTTTCCGTGCCCATACATATGTATATAAGTATATATGGCATATAATTAATGGCGATCACCTAGCAATTCAGTCGAATTATCTATTTGTCAGACACAGTGCATTCGCTTATCACTAGCGCCGTGTGTCGCAACGCGAGATGATCACTCGAAATTTTCGCACGACGCTCATTCGCAAACACATACACATGCGTATGTGTGTGCGCGCATGCATTTCATCTATGTAGCTGCCAAATAGCGAAGCCTTTATCTGTGCCTCTGCGCTCTGCTGTGGCTGGTGATAATGAAAGCAAAAATGGCAAAAACAGTCGATAATAAACAAATAGAAATAAAATAATCGCAATCACACTGTTAAGCATGCCAATTTTTGTCAACTACACGAATTTTTCGTGACGAGCGTGTGCCAGTCGTAAAAAGTCAGCTCCCGCGTGGTAAACGGTATTGCGGTAAAGAAACCCCGACATTCGAAAAGAGTTAACAACCAATTGATAAATCATTAAAATAGGCATACGACCTCTTTAAAATTACGGTAACAAACAGTCAAAAGAAAAATAGATTAGTGCGAATTTTAGATGAAATAATGCAAGTCGTTTAAAATAGAGACAGATAAATAGAGAAAGGTCATCGTTTGTGTGATTCAAGAGCTTTTAGTGACAAATTCGATCGCTTGGCATGTTTATGTGTCTGCATACATACCGTCCAAGTTAATTGTTTTTGGGAGGGCTTTTGAAAATCTAATTTCCATTGAACAATTTGCTTTGTTTACCAACATTCCGGTCACATCCATTGCCAATAATTAGGCTGCTAATTAAATTGATTGAATTTTCGCCAACGAAGTGTCAGTGTTTTTATTTACTAGCGATATTTTATTTATTAAAAATATTTGTGTAATATTTTTCCATAAATCCAGTTCTTAACGTCGATTATACATATATGTATGTGCGTCATTTCACAGCTATCGCCACGCAATTGATATACAACAAAGGCAGAATACTGCAAAACAACAAAGCTGAAAAAGAAACAAAAAAAGAGAAGAAGAACTTGCAAGACATCCACACACACACGCACACACGCCACATAGTGCAATAATCCACCAGTTCAAATCGAAAAAGTGCTCCACGCAGTCAGCAGTTGCAATATAAGCAGCGATAAGCAGCACCAATAACTGCTGCGCCGCGTCGAAACTATCCGCAGTGCAGTTGCGCCATCCCAAGTCAGCGGTCAGCAATTATTACAACGATCATAGCATTTCTTCGCCAGTCAGCGCCCGCCAATGTGCCCGCATTATCGGCTAAGCGAATAATTAGTCAAAGCAACCAGCTAGCAACCGGGACAGTGTCAGCGGCGATTGGTGATTGTCGTCGCACAACAACAGCAGCAGCATCCGTAATAGCTCCAAGAGCAAAGTACTCAACAATAAATAGACAAACAAAGTGCAGCAAAAATGTTGAAAACAAAAGCCAATGATGACAAAGTGGATACTTTGCTGACCAAGGGTCTGGTGCCGATAATCGATCTCGCTCATTGCGGTAAGCGTTATATATGTATGTCTCTATGTTTATACCTAAGCATTTATATGAAAATATTAGCAACTCATGCTTGTATGGTTGTTGTAATTGCATGTTGCCGCCATTACCTTGAAGCTATCCACACTTCCAATGGGCCATTTATTTGCATCAATCGTTTGAATTGAATATTCCATTTCAAAGCAAAACCTCATTCAGTATCTATTTCTGATTACACACATACATACATACATTATTATGCTATTTATGGATATGGATATATAATTAATTTTATTGTTGCATATACGCGTATACATATGTACTGACATTTATAGTACTTACTCACTGAAATCAATTACTTATATCATATGGTATCTTACGAATAGTACGACCTACCGGGCCGTTTGCCATTTGTCTATACAAACAACTGGTGGGTTTCGTGTTTCTAAGTCCAACTAGATGGCAGCTGTCAGATAAATATATACCAGTTTGGACCTAAGTACTTCGAGATAAATAAAAAACTATAACTAATCCTTTTAATTTAGATACACTATAACTTTATAAATATATATGTATATATATACCTTTCACGATTTAGTTTATTAATATAATTTGTTTGCGGTGACTGCGTTTTTCTCCTACCCTGGAAAAAATATCTGAACCATCATGGCTTTATGTGCCCTCCTTGAATTCTGGCTTGAATGATTATGTTTTTAGCAAATATCCAATATGCAATTGAATTTATATTTCGATCGAGGCAAACATAATTACATGCTATGTCGCTGCATACTGTGTACCCAGTTAAAAATGTTATTGGCACTTCCTTCCACTTGATTTAATTCGAGGCCAAGTTACGATCAGGTACGATCGTATATACATAACAGCATCACAAGTGTTTTAGCATTTTTATACCCATGCAACGTGTTGCTATTGAGTATAATAGTTTTATTCACCAAATGGTTGAATATATTACCTAAAACTGTTCGATATAGACATACGGTTATATATAATAAATGAACAGTATGCAGATACGAGTCCGTGCAAGCGGCAACTTTAGTAGATGTGAATTAAACTTGCTACACATGTTTCTTGGCAAAAAAGTAAGGCGAAGTTCATAGATGGGCGTAATCGAACCACTGTCAACACCCTTTTGAGTATGCCACCTTATAAGCAAAAATTGTTAAAATACAACAAAAAACTTTCAAGTTCTAAGTAACTATAGTTGACTTTAGACTGAAAATATCGGTAAATATGTAAGATATAAAATGGAAATTCAGGGATAATCCTTTCCTGGTGATATTATGTCTGTGTGTCAAAAATGGGTTGAATCGGGTCATGCTTCCTTGAGCCTCCATATACCTAATATAAAAATTTTCGAACTTCCGGAACGTGTTTTACTGAATAAAATAGAAAGAAGTTTGCGAAAATTTTACCTATTATCATTATTTTCTAACAACCGGCTGACGTTACTTCATATGATTTCTGGTGGTATGAGAGGAATCTTGTTGAAACCTGGGAGTATTTTATTAGTCCGTGGTATGTTAAATGTAAATACAAATTGAGTCAATACTACTCCCAGCTCCCTTATACAACTTTTAATGATTTTCGTTATTATATGAGTATGAGCTATAACTAGAATAGGTGTATATAAAATGGCTTGGATTTCGGTTCTCTTGTTGACATTTTACACCTTAAGGTATTACCCTGGCTTTGATGCTTGCAAGTTACAAAAGTATAAAATGTTCCGTTACACCCGAACTTAGCTCTTTCTTACTTGTTTTATATTATTCTTATTTTTTAATATTTTTATTTGTCGAGTTTTAGTTTTATAGTGTTTCTTCATACACGTGTTGAAAGCAAGTTTCGAATAATTTAAGAAACAAAATTATTCACGAATATTTTCCTATTTACGTTCCGAATTCCTTAAAACCGCTACAGAAGTTTGCCTTTATGTAAAGAGTTCTACAGCTTTCGTTTCACAATTTATTTTTAGCCATAAACTTCTAAATATAAATACATGCCAGAGTTATATGTATAGTAAATATTCGGTGTCAGTGTATATTTGAAGCACCTTCATCTCCTACACACTCTCCAGCTTAGATTGCCTAACACGTGAGCTGACTCATTTGAGAGCGATGCTACTTTTGAGGGGGTTTACAAGGTTTTGAATTCGAAACAACTAAATTAAGCTGCAAATAAAACTTGCACTGAAAATAACAAAACATTTTATAACAAAACTAGCAAATCCACTTACGGTTAAAAGCGGCTTCCATTGAAGTTCGTCGTTAGTGATTTCCCCAACTGAAATTGTTCAGCGATCCGATTGTTTTCAAAATCACACACACACTCATTTCCGTATTTTAAGGCTGATAAAGCTATCTATTATTTAATATACATATGTATGTATAATATATACATATATATAAACAAATATGTATATGTGCACACAAGTTGTCCTATAGTATATACCTAGTATGTGTGTAACCAATAGAGCCAGCTTTGGCATTCACATTAAACAAATTAGCAGAAGTAGAAATTAAATTTGTGACGTAGGTAATTGAATTGCCTTTGCCATGAATGCGTCACCAGCCGCGCTTGATTTCCCTGACTGTGTTAGGATTGCGGCCTCGGCATGAATTGGACTGCATCGTGTCTACCAATAGATTTTAAAGATTTTTGAAGTTTTTATGGAATTCAGATAGTTTGTTTATTGATTGTTCGCAAATCGAACGGAATCATTATTTTACGAAAGCTGGTTGTTGTTGACCGACAAGTAACGTCAAACTTCTAACTGTAAATCATTTAAATTAACAATAAGCTTGCTAAGAACAGTGTGAGTGCGCGATCATGCCGAGTCTGAGCAAAATCTCGTTTGAAAGTATCAAAAATAATATTTGAATGTATGTATTTAATTTTGCTTTGTTTTTTGACATTCCACAGAACGCACCTCTTTTTTAGGGGATTAAAAAGTGTACAACATTTGCGCACTCGCGATCATTTATTCTGAAATTCAGGAAATTCACTTCGCTTTGCGGTAAAACAAAAAGATGTTTCAACGAACTTGTTATTGCCATATTTGCACCAGTCGATGACGTACGAATTTGTTATTGAATTTTTATACCCGAGAGCAAAATGTGCGTTGAGTACACATATTATGTTACACAGTATTACTTGCGTCCACTATTGGTAATCGGAAAAGCATTTTCGTATTTTGTCAATAGCTGTCGTTGCAGTCGTTATCTCCACTACTACCAATCATTGTGTGTCATACCATATAGTGCTGGCAAAGTGTTTTCATTTAACCAAAAAATATTAAGTTCGGGGAACTTGAAAAAATTTTACACCTCTTCAAAAATGAGGGAAAATAATGAAGAAATTCGCTATATTTTGAAATTTTTGTATGAAAAAGGGAAGAATGCCACGCAAGCCACCAATGAAATTTGTGAGGTTTACGGAGACGATGGTGTATCAGTTCGTGTAGCTTAACAATGTCTCGCATGCTTCCTTTTATTAAATTTCGAAATTTCGATTTACACTGATGGAATAATGTCTCTAGCGGGAAAATGGCTAAAAGTGGTCGACCAAAATGGTACATACTTCTTTATTTATTTATTAGTATAAATATACAAAAAATAAGATGAAGTTTGATTAGAAATACGGAGAGACCTTTTCGACTACCCAATATTATGTTACATAGGACCACTTCGTTTTGCATCGAAGACCTTAATCACTAGTCTCGTCTTTCAATAAAGGATGGAGAGCCACTATGTCGCCAACTCACACAGACTTGTTCTCAATTCCAACTCTCTCGAAGCTACTAAACAACTAAATTTGCTGATTTTTATGCGAAAGCTAATATTATCGCACAAGTACTTAAGTATATTCCTTAATTGAAAGGTTATTTTTAAATGTTCCCTCTTAAACAGTTTTATTATAATCTTAGTATTTCATAAGATTCTGTTTTAATGTCGAACTTATGTATGTATGTGTGTTTGTATAATTCACATTTAAGTGAAGTGTTTGGCTTTGCGGTTGTCTGTTTTGTTCGATTCTTTGAATTTTTAGTTTTTATTTAAGAATTTGGACCGAACATTTTTATTTCGTCTACTCTAGCCACAATTAACTTATCACCGTTTGTGTGCAATTAAGCTTTAACTGTACAAAGTAAACAAAAACCAAAAGTTTACACAAACACACGAGTACAATAAATAAAAAACAAGACTGAGCAAGTGAATGAACATAAAATGAAAAAGTAGAAAAAACGCAAACAAATTCGTATAAAATATCGGCATACATTGGAATGTTCGCACACAGAGGCTAGGGTTAAATTCTTTGGAATTGCGGAAAACGCGTGTGATTTTTCTCATTTCAATACCGCAAATTTTTCGATAAGACATGGAAAACCCCATAATTTTTAATAAGAATTCCAATGAAGACAACGAAGTGCAAAAATAGAAATTGAATTTCTTTGTTATTGGCGTCTAGAAGGGGTGGCTGTGTTGGCGTTGGTTTCTTAACTTAATGGACGATATTTTATTTGTATTTATTGTGACGCGTTTATGTTTTCTTCTTTCATTAATTTGTTATTTATTGCTTCAGGTGTTTGACTCGCAACGTGTGTGTGTGTGCGCATTTTTGTGGTTTATAATAAAGCCGACGGCTAACGACCATATCGTATAAACCACCATCGACACTCAATCATATTTTGATGAAGTATAATTTGTTAATTCGATATTTTATTAATCATTGGAAAAATGGCTGACGAAGCGCTTTTATCTTTAATAGCTTTGTCCGTTGTCCGTAGAATTTATGGCGACACTTTGAGAGTGTAAATTGGGAATAAAGGTACGAGCTCAAAACTCAAATTGGTGTGTAGGTACTTAAGTATATACGCATGTTTGTTGCATATTTTCTACCCATCCGTTAATCACTCATCCGTCACATGTCGCCGACGTGTGACTACTATTTATTATTGTGAGGTTATATTATTGTCGTTTTTGCATTCATTTGTTTGAATTTAAGTT